TTTCTCATCACTTTTCTATAAAGTGCATTAATTTTGGTCACAACGCTCCATTATAATTTCATAATAGGAAAATAAAAAGTGGCCGTATTTTTGTTTAATATTAACTCTTTACGTGTGTAAAATGTTGTTTTTTTTGTTTTTTTTTTGTGATGTTACACACAAACAAACGTTCATTTTCTCTCCCTGTCGCATTTGAAATGTATTTGCAAGTAATGTTAGCATTACATTTTGTTTAATATGTGAAGAATATGGGCCTACTATGTAAATTTGTGTCCACAGTGAGTCAAAACGATATTATTACGTTTTCCGAGATTGGTAAAATTTGGATAATTTTATTTCTTGTTAAAGAAACTCTAAAAAAAAAACTTTTTTTAACATCTGTAAAATCATGGGATTTAATTATATTTATCTACAACAAAATGTACGCAACTTCTTTCGTAAAGGCAGTGCATCTAACCCACAAATAAGCCAGCACATGATCAAGATGATTTTGTTCAAATAAGCTTTTAGATTAAATTATATATCCTCGTAGAACAATAAAGAACCTTCTGGAACATTCTAGATAAAATATAATATATTCATTGAAACTTGTAAAAAATTACTCTTCTACATAATTATTTCTCGAATGCGAATTAATAATAATTAATCGAGTACAACTTAATTAAACTACTATTACTATAGTGCATTTATAATAAAATGGGGGCCCCAGTGGGGGCCCATTTAAAGTACCGTTTCAGTTATGTCTGAGATGGGGAGGGGGCCCTAAAAAAATCATTGAGATAAATTATAGAGTTAAAATTTAAAATGTGCCCATTAAAATCGGATTAAAAATACCATTGTTATAGCTTTTTAAAATTATGGAACTTTCTAGAAAATTCTAGATCGGCGCTACATGGATTGAATATTATTAGTTTTAAATCCACGGATATTTCAATACGGACTATGATGGACCAAGCTAGGTATAGATCCATCATTCACATAGAACCTAATGTGTTGTTTAAGCCTAATGATATTTATATAGCTTAAATTAGGAAGAATGTATATTATGAGTTCAGTACCCTTCGGTATTTGAATATGGATAATCAAGTATGTGTTTACTAAGTTTGGTCAAGATCCATCCATTTATGTAGGAGTACTAAGAGTATTAATATTTATAAAGCTTATATAAGAAAAAATGAAACGGGGCCCCCGTCCCCAAAGAAATGGATATTAAGAGGCCAGTACCCTTCGGTTTTTTAGTATGGATAATAAAGTATATGTGAACTAAGTTTGGTCAAGATCCATCGACTCATTTCTTGTTAATTTTATTTATAAATCTTGTATAAGGAAAAAAAAACGAATTCGGGGCCCCGGCCCCAAACGGAATGTTATAAAAAGTTCTTAACCCATTAAGAGTTCCGTCCGGATAATGATAGATATATGTGCCAAGTTTGGTCAAGAGTCATCAATCAATGTAAAAGCCTTTGTGGAACAAACCCACAAACCCACAAACTTTCTCTTATATATATATATATATATATATATATATATATATATATATATATATATATATATATATATATATATATATATATATATATGACAGGTGTGATTTAAATAATCTAGATTTGACAAAAAAAATAGTTTCAATATTAGAAAATTCTGACTCCCCCCCAACACCCCCTTGTACATAATACATGATATGACGCAATATTTTAAATTTCAGTAAATTCAGTGTTCATTTATTTGCCTCTTCTATTTCACGTGAGCCCAACAATGCTGGTAACGAAGATTGTGACTTATTCTACCCAGGCGGGCACGGCTTTAACGACAACACATGTAATTACTTGGCGCATTACGCCTGCGAACGATCTCCAAAAATAAAATTAGATCTGTAATAAGTGCACCACTCTTCATTCTCAACCTTTCTAATGCCACGCCCTTTAATACAGTTGCTCATGTTGTGGTAACCCATAAACACAAAATTAGTTACGTTGATACTTCATAACTGTAGAGTATTAGAGTTTTAGGATGGTCTTATGCGACCCCTGTGAAAGGGTCTTTCGAACACCAAAGGGGTCGTGACCAGCCGTTTGAGAACCGCTGATTTAAATCAAGATCAGCATTGACTGAGGCATTTTAAAGTTCCCTGAATGCTTTAAGTATGCCATTACTGTTTCTACCCAGTAGTGCCTTATCGGCTGCGTTATCCAGGTACTGCAATGGCTGGCTATATAAGGTTCCTGATGGTCGTTGTTCTGTAATACCTCTCTGGAAGTAGCTTTTTATGATTCCGCTGGTGCTCACACGTATGCTTCTAATCACTTTTTCTAGCGTTGGTTAAACAGTATACATGATAGTGAGTCTCCTTGTCTGAGGACCTGATTACCTGGGAACTCCGTTGAGTATTCTCCCTGCACCTTGATTCCACTTTTGGAGTTGGCCATCGTCATGAGTATGAGCCGAGTAAGCTTCTTAGGGACTCCAAGTTCTTGTAGAGCGTTGTATACGTAATTCCGGTCTACACTATCATATGTTGTTTTGTAATCCACATATATTTGGGGTATGTCGAAATTATATTCGTAACATTTCTCCTGGAGACATCTAATAATAAAAATATGATCCGTGGATGACCTGTTCTGCCGGAAACCGCATTGGTAGTCCCCTAGGATCTTTTCCCAATACCTTTCCAGTGTTCTTGCTATAAGTTATAAGTTTTGTGAGGATTTTGTACATTACATTAAGGAGGGCGATTCCTCTTTAGTCTGAGCAGACCAACTTAGATCCTTTTTTGTGACGAGGGGTTATGAGTGTTGTTTCCCAATCTATTGACATTTCTTCCTCCTGACAGTTTTTTGGATGTGAGGTCGTGTATTTGCAGTTCATTACCACATAGCTTTATCAGTTCTGCAGAGACACGATTTATTCTCAAGGCATGGTTATGTTCTTAACAAATAACATCGTTTATTTTATTAAATGTTCCTTGACCATTGGGTCCGATTGTGTTAGAGCGTAATCCTCATTGGTTCCTCCACCTGAGCTATTCAGTAAGCTTTCAAAGTTGTGTGCCCATCTTTCTAGTACTCTACAGCTCTCTGCTTTCAATTCTCCACCAATACTATCACACACATTTGATCTTGCTTGAAAGCCACTTTTGGTGCTTTCTCTTTAGGTACATTCCCCTTACATCTCTTTCTTTTGCCAACTCTTTTTAGATTTTTTCCCAAACACGCCTTTTTCTTTCTGCAAATATCTCTAGCCACCCTTCTTGTTTCATTAAATAATTGCCGTGTGCTTCTAGCCTACCTTTGCAGCACCCTTTCTATAAGTTCTTTGCATTATGCGTCATACCATCCTGTTCTTTTAATCAAATCGTTTACATTGTTACACTAGCTACTATTCTCTTTATCTATTCCCATTGTTGGTTTATATCAACTTTGTTTGCTGATTCCCTTTTGGATAACTCTAGTTGGTTCACTAGGTGTTGAAAGACAACGACGAAGAAATATAATTGTCAAAATGTTCATTAATTGCATACTTTTTTCGTCATTAAAAAAAAAACAGCCCTGTGGGAAACAACGACTTAACATTGATTTTAATTTTACTTTATATTAAATTAAATATTAGAGGCTCATTACCCTTAAGTCAAAAATTACCATCGAACCATTTTCTAATCTTTTAAAATTGTAGAAGTGTGTCCCCAGTGTGTCCACTTTGTAGGGGAAACCCTCTGGGATACTGGTGTTAGTCGTGGAAGCTCTGAGGCAGTAGTGAATTGCTTACCTCTTAGATGATATTTCTCTCAGACAATACTTAGATGGATATGAAAATTAAATTGAGTTTGAATTTCCATTTTAGCCACATATTGTTATAAAATTCATACTACTATATGTATTTAAAAGACTCAATGATTTTATTTATATACATATAAACATTCATAAATTTTTATGTATAATTACAAACATAGAAACCCAATAAAAATAAGTTAATATAGGACAATTATTCAGTTAACAATTTAATTAAACTTATGTTGTTTTTATTATACATTGTAGCATAAAATAAAATGTCAATTATTTTTTGGGGGAATAATAATTAATCAAACATGTTTAATTTCAGCTAGACGTTATCTGTTACTGTGGAAAATATGTATTTCAATAGCCCCATTAATTGAATAGTTATTTTTTGATTTAAGAAAGTATGTGTTTTGAAAAAAAAGTCAATACAAACCTGAACCTATCCAATTAAATTTTTTACAATAAAAAAGTCATAATTTGTGAATTTTAACATTTTCATTCATACTTTTGTTACGGTACCCCCATACTATCAAGTTAAAAATAAAGAAAGATAATGGGCCTAATAATAATTATACGTCACATGGCTTATGGGAGTCAGCACTTACCAATAGTAAGCTTTTTGTTTATGTTAGATGTATTTGAAATGTTGAGTTTGAATACCGGTAAATGTAGCAAAACAACGTCAAAAATATGTCTCGTGGGCTGGAGGAAAATACCGAGTACTAAGCTAGTCTTTACGTCAGCCGAGTAGGCTGCACAGGAATATTCAGAGTGCAATGTCTTTATGTTACCCTAATGGGGGTGGGGAAATATACAGAGTCTATGCGATTCTGGACGTTCAATTGTGTTTCCGTGGACGCTTAGATTATTTGAATATTAAATTCGTCAATGTTGTTGTTTTTTTATGTATCAATAATAAAATTAATTTTAATTCACAAAATATCCCTACACATTGCAAAGTCAAATGTTTCATGATACATATTCACATTTTTTTTTTACATACATTGACATGTTTGAAATTAACACCAGACAATGATCAACAATAGAATACGTGTTTTGTATTGTGTTGTAGTTGAGCTCAAACTCCTCCAGTGTAGATGTGGATTCCACGTTCTGAATGTTTCTTATAAACGTGTGATCTTAAAACTATGTTTAGCTTCAGCTGTTTAAAAAAAATAGCAATCAGCGTCACTTGTGATGACATTTCAAGATCCGACATGCCTCCACCCTGAACTTCTTAGCTGCGATGAAATAAATAAAGAAGTTGAGCACGTGGGAGAAGTCCAGCATGATGGTCGCTATCGTGCCCAGCAGGATGTAAAAATGCTTGGACTGCAGGAAGAACCCGTGCTTGTATCCTTCGGTGAACACGAGCAAGGGCGTGAAGAGGAACAAGAAGACGAGGGCGTCGAAGAGCAGCATGTGCGTGATGGTGCGGTCGCTCTTCGCCCTGAGTTTGATCATCATGTGAGTCCCGCTCATCGGGTCGTCACGAGGCTGCCTCCCTTCCTGTCGACTGCGTCGCAAAAATCTCCGACGCTCGATTCTGGATTTTCGTATCCCTCTTATGATTGCAGCGGTGAGGGTGATTATAATGGCAAACGGGATGATGATGACAAGCAGTTTATCGAACCAATCCACAAATGAGTTGTCGGGTCTAACGTTATGCAACGTCACGTAAAATATCAATAGTAGCACAAAAATAACGAAAGACAAAATTGCGGCACCCACGTAGCTCCTCTTCTTCGTAAACAAGTATTGTCTCTTTAAAGGATGGCAAATGGAAACGTACCGCTCCAAGCATATCAGGACGAGGAGCCAGTTGGAGAGTGCCGTGAAGTAGATGTAAGGAAACAGGATTATGTAAGAGAACACGGCCCAAGGCTTATAGTGTCGTAGAACGTGGATGGCGATGATCTGGCTGACCAGTGCCCCGGCGTCTGAGAAAGCCAGGAGTGCCGTGAGGAATGTCGCGGGGCTCAAGGTTTGCATTTTGAGGACCGTGACGATGGTGAGCACGTTGGTCGGGAGTCCAATTGAGCAGAAGACCATGGGATAGATCAGGTAGATTCTGTCCCTAATGACATTATAAAACAGGTCTGGATTTATTGTTCTGAAAATAAAAAAAAATAAAAAATGTATTTCTATAAATATAATGTCAAGCTAAACATTAACACACTTACAAATAACCTTAATTTGTATCTTTTTCAACAATATTTTGTATTTTGAGATAATTTTTACACCATTTCACTATAATTATTTTAAAACTCATTTGTTTAAAAATTCAATTTATAGTCAATAAATCTAGTTTCCAAAGAAGAATCAACCCAAAAAATGTATCATGCTTCAACCCAAAAATTTATCATGCTTCTTCCATCCAAAAATGTATCATGCTTCAACCCAAAAAATGTAACATGCTTCCATCCAAAAAATGTATCATGCTTCTTCCATCCAAAAAATGTATCATGCCTCCACCCAAAAAATGTATCATGCTCCAACCAAAAAATGTATCATGCTTCCACCCAAAAAATGTATCATGCTTCCATCCAAAAAATGTATCATGCTTCCATCCAAAAAATGTATCATGCTTCTTCCATACTAAAAATGTATCATGCTTCCACCCAAAAAATGTATCATGCTTCCACCCAAAAAATGTATCATGCTTCCACCCAAAAAATGTATCAGGCTTCCATCCAAAAAATGTATCATGCTTCCATCCAAAATATGTATCATGCTTCCACCCAAAAAATGTATCATGCTTCCATCCAAAAAATGTATCATGCTTCCACCCAAAAAATGTATCATGCTTCCATCCAAAAAATGTATCATGCTTCCATCCAAAAAATGTATCATGCTTCCACCCAAAAAATGTATCATGCTTCCATCCAAAAAATGTATCATGCTTCCATCCAAAAAATGTATCATGCTTCCACCCAAAAAATGTATCATGCTTCCACCCAAAAAATGTATCATGCTTCCATCCAAAAAATGTATCATGCTTCCACCCAAAAAATGTATCATGCTTCCATCCAAAAAATGTATCATGCTTCCATCCAAAAATGTATCATGCTTCCATCCAAAAATGTATCATGCTTCCATCTAAAAAATGTATCATGCTTCCACCCAAAAAATGTATCATGCTTCCATCCAAAAAATGTATCATGCTTCCATCCAAAAATGTATCATGCTTCCATCCAAAAATGTATCATGCTTCCACCCAAAAAATGTATCATGCTTCCATCCAAAAAATGTATCATGCTTCCATCCAAAAAATGTATCATGCTTCCATCCAAAAAATGTATCATGCTTCCATCCAAAAATGTATCATGCTTCCATCCAAAAATGTATCATGCTTCCATCCAAAAATGTATCATGCTTCCATCCAAAAATGTATCATGCTTCCATCCAAAAATGTATCATGCTTCCACCCAAAAAATGTATCATGCTTCCATCCAAAAATGTATCATGCTTCCATCCAAAAAATGTATCATGCTTCCACCCAAAAAATGTATCATGCTTCCACCCAAAAAATGTATCATGCTTCCATCCAAAAAAACAACAAAACAAAAAAAACTTCTTAATCTTCCAAGCAAAAAATGTATTATGCTTTAAGCTTAAAAAAAATAATAATAATTTCATGTTGCCCTCTGTACAATAAGGCTCCGGACCACTTTCAATAGGCAGTTTATACGTACTCATTGTGTTGCTTGTTGGTGCTATTGTGTTCATCCCATGTTTCATTATAATAAAATGAATTGTTTACCCACATCACTTAGATTAACAGATTCATCAAAGCACATCTATAAGGAATATTCTTTAATGTTTTTTTTACCTGAAGAAAAAAGAACCAAATGAATTCATAATTAAATATACACTAAGTTAATGTTATATATATATATATATATATATATATATATATATATATATATATAGAGAGAGAGAGAGAGAGAGAGAGAGAGAGAGAGAGATATAAAAAAAAATAAAAATAGAAAAAAAAAAAAAAAAAAAAAAAATAAAAATATATAAAAAAATATATATAAAAATAAAATTATATATATATATATATATATATATATATATATATATATATATATAGAGAGAGAGAGAGAGAGAGAGAGAGAGAGAGAGAGAGATTTAAAATAGTAAAAATACCGTAAAAAATTAACATATTCAACTAAATAAAGCATTTCCAGTGAATTTATTTAAACATTGTCCAAAGTGTACATTATAATTTACAATAACCACTTGAAATACAAGTTTATCTTAACTGCATCAAGAGTTACACGTGATCCATCAATGTTACAGTTGTGTCAACGTTTTCAACAAAAAAAAGGTAAAGAAATCAAACGATTTAGTAAATATATTTTTCTCTATTTCTTAATGTTTCGCAGAGGTTGTTTGGAAACATTTCAATAAAGTGTTAGCTTTCATGTCAGTCTTCCTCAAAATAGATCAACATTTTTTGACGTAAATTTTTAGGATATTCTATTTACCTTTTAAGTTTTTTTTTTAATATGGTGGATGCTTATTTGACAACTGATCAGAAATTTTTTTTTAATAATTTTTTTTTTCTACATTATTTTATTCTTATAACAGACCTGTCTACCCCAACGCTTTCGCCGTGGTGACGACGTTCATAAGCCTAAGACAACGTCATACAAAGGGGGTTAAAAAAGACCTACGGTTTCGAGATTTCCCCCCCCCCCTTTTTGTTTGGTTTATTTTTAATACAAAATAAATAATTGGATTGACTACGTAAAAAAGTGAACGCAAGTTTTGTTTAACACGTAAATAATTGAATGAGAACGACATCCTTCAACACATCGGTGAAAAATAACTTGTATATTGCCCTATGTTAACTTGTATATCATCAGCAAAGCAGCAGAGTAGATTTACTGACACAGCTTGTCTTTTTTAAAAAATGTGACTTGTATGTGTTTATTATGACATCCCCCAACCCCCCCCCCCACACACACACACCACACACCCCTTACCAATAGATCAAACGACTCTTTGGAGCTTCAAAGTACTTTTTGGAGAGCTGAAAACTACTCGGAAACTAATCCCGGAGTAAACAAGTCTGTTATAAGCAGTTGATAATTCTAATAGACCTATTTTGTTGGGAAACTTAGCTGACAAAATAGAATTCGCATTACGAGTTAAGGGTACACTTTTATAGATGGGATAACTTTTCATTTCGTCCGTCTGTTTAAATTATATGGCCTTTCAAAAGATAAGTGGATTTATTTCAGCATTTATGTTTCTTAGTGTGATTTTTTTTTTGGTGATGATTGACTTGAGAAAACAATGACGCGAACACAATATTGCACACTTATGGTGTATCCTTGCGCACCAATGTGACGCTTGGATATCAGTCCAAGTCTACACCGGTGCGTTCCTTCAATAGTTGTCGAGTAATGAGAATGATATAAATAAAAATACGAACATGGAGGTTTAATATCTTTTTCTCTTTATATTTTTGGTGTGAAATGCTTATCTTAATGTCATGTAGAGGCAAAAAGCGAATGTGTGGCAAATTATTTCATTAAAAGTGGTAAGAAATAAATATATTTACGTTTGCAAATTCATTTTCACTGTCCGACTAGGAGATTTTCTGAAATTTAAAGTATATCCATCTATTTCATTTGGGTCAAGCAATAATTAATCACCACCATAGCCCTGTACACCCCCCATTACCCATACATCATCGTGACATTACCTATCACCATAACCCTAACAAACAACATAACACTATCAGCCATAATAATCCTATCCACCACCATAACACTAAAAACCACCATAAAATTATCAAATACCATATCCCTAACCATCACCCTAACTCTATTAATACCAAAAAACTATCAAGCATTATAACCCTATCAACCAACATAACCCTATCAACCACCATAACCTATCAACAGCCTTAACCCTATCAATCACCAAAATCCCATCAACCACCTTAACCTTATCAACAACCATAACCCTATCAGCTACCAAAACCCTATAAACCCCCTTAACCTTATCAAGTACCATAAAACTATCAACCATCAAAACCTTATCAACAATCATAACCCTATCAACCACCATAACCCAATCAACCACCATATCCCTATAAACAACCTTAATCCTATCAACCACCTTAACCTTATCAACCACCATAACACTATCAACTTCAAAAACCCTATCAACCACCATAACCTTATTTACCACCATAACCCAATAAAAAACCATAACCTTTCAACACACATATCCATGTCAACTACCATAACCTTTTCAACCACCTTATCCATGTCAACCCAAATAACCCTATCAACACAATAACCTTATAAACCACCATAACCTGATCAACCACCATAACCCTTTCAACCACCATAACCTTATCAACCACTATCACCCTATCAACCGACATAACTCTATCAAGCACCATAACCTTATCAACCACCATAACCTTATCAACCACCTTAACTCTATCAACCACCATAACCTTATCAACAACTATAACCCTATCAACCACCATAACTCTATCAACCAGCATAACCTTATCAACCACCATATCTCTATCAACCACCATAACCCAATCAAACACCATAACCCTGTCAACCAACATAACCTTATAAACCACCTTAACCTTATCAACCACCATAACCTTATTAAACACCATAATCCTTTCAATCCCCATAACCCTATCAACCAACTTTACCTGAGCAACCACCATAACCCTATTAACAACCATAACCCTATCAACTCCTTAACCTTATCAACCACCATAACTCTATCAACAGCCTTAACCTTATCAACCATCATAACCCTATCAACCACCAAAACCTTATCAACAACCATAACCTTATCAACCATTATAACTCTATCAACCACCATAACTTTATCAACCACCATAACTCTATCAACCACCATAACCTTATAAACCACCTTAACCTTATCAACGACCATAAACCTTATTAAACACCATAATCCTATCAACCACCATAACCATATTAAACACCATAAACCTATCAACCATCTTTACCTGATCAATCACCTTAACCTCATCAACTACCATACCCTTATAAACC